TTGGGTTTCTCGTTCCCAGATATAAATACGTTATTATTTAATACTGACGTTGTATACAGAACAATACTGACACATCGGGCGGTTTCAACACTCACTAATTCGAATTTTCGTCAAAATCCGAGATTTTCACCTCAAATGGACTCTGACAAAATTACACACGATTTTCTCGAAAAATAACTAAATTCGGCAAAAATGTAATTATCACTGTTTAATGCTTACGGACAGAATTACGTCCCTTGCGCGCACTAGAGAGTAATACTGACCCTAGAATATACACGAAACATGAAAATTAGAATTTCCGCCAAAAAGTCAGATTCTAGCCCAAGCTGGACTTAGAAAATTTTCCACCTACGTTTCTACTGAAAACAGAATTCTAAGTCTACAAACACAATTCTACCGTCTTACTGGTAAAAACTAGAATAATATCACTTGCATCGACTGGGGAATCCTAATGATACCCAGATCATATACGTGACCCACGAATACAAATTAATTACAGTTAACGACTTTCCGACGTTGACTTAGCCGAAAACTTATCCCAAAATACTTAGAAATATTCCACGGACTCTATTAAACATTTACACGCAACTTACTATCCCTTAAACTCCTTCACTTACTATAGTGACCGACCAATAGCCCTAAGTCCAGAGGATTAACTACGCTCTAGAAACAACGCCTCTGACTTAGACTAATACAACAGGGAATAACAAAACTTAATGTACGCACTTAGCCTAATATGCAAGAAAATGCTAACACGTGGGAAAAATTTTAACCGGGGATTGAATTTAGGGGAAAAAAAATTAATCTAGAACAACGCAAATAAACGGAATTACTTTATAAATTTAAGTATACTTAATTCAAAAATGCACTCGACTTAATCTTATAATTGCTCCTACCGGCTCGCCGTACCACACCTAGCCTAGGGGTCTCGACCATCTAGGTTCCAACAGAGCGACACGCAGCTTTCAGCAACAATTATGACTAGGGACGACTCAACCTCCACTAAGTGTGCGATCACTTAGTTGTTGAATCGCTGCTAGGTAGGTTACTAGTCCGTCCCTCGGAGGCCGCAACGCCCTTCACGGATTACGTTTTTCCTAGCGTTTTGGGTCGTCTAACAACGCCCTCGGATCTATCTCCTGGCGTCCCACAGATATATCCGCCCAGACAGCCCACAAGGAACTGCTGTTGAGAGTATGGCGGCTCCCAACACCTCTGAATTAATTGCAATGGGTCGAGTATGGTACCCAGTCCAATCAACTCGGAGCGGTCTCCTTTTCAATAAATCTTAACAGCCTAATCTTACTAACTAAACCTTAATCATATCAGCCCGCATGACCCAAGATTCGCCAATCCCCACTCAAACGCACTGTTGTGAGGCGCACTGCTAATCCTGGCCCGCGGCTGTCTCCTTAGCATCCACGCACGTGTTCGAATGGCTAGACGCGTGAGCCTTTCAACAATTTCAAACAAAATTGTTGAAACCACCGCTGTGCACCATTGTAACACGGGTAGGGTTTCTCTCTACTTATCTTTCCTTCTTCTACCCCCCTCTACCCGTATTCTTACTTTTTATTCTCTACAAGGGACTCCAAAACTTTTACCAAAACCAACTCCACGCCACGTGGTCCTAAGACGATTGACCGACTTAGGATTCTACAACCAGTATGACGTGACCTAAGCTTTGAGCAAAACCCTAGAGTCGCCTCCGCCGCCACCACCAGACCAGTAACACAGCAATGATCGAGGTCTGGATCGATCACGCTAATTAATCAACCTTGGGGCTTGATCCCCACTATAACCGATGACCTTGAGTGTGGAATAAATTACACGATAATGATGAATTCCGATTCGATGTTAGAATCGGCGCCCAATACAACTCTGCCTCGTGTGGACCACGTGACCAGGACAAGTAAACATAAAAAAAATGGAAACAATAAAAATGCAAAATATTAACTAATTAATTTATTAAAAGAAAAACTAAAACAAAATCTAAATATGTTCCTTCCCTGTCACTTTAACACTCCCTACTTGACCTGAATGGCAAATGAGAAGACTATCCCTATAATTAACAATAGCAACTATACCTTGGGCAACCAGCTAGATGTTGGGGGCTGGTCTTGGGAGAGGTAAGATGGGGTGACCTCTCCCAGTAGTTCTGGAGTCCACACTGATCTCTTCCTCGTCTGGTCTAGCCCAGACTAGAGCATTGTATTGTTCCGCATAGTCTAAGTTTTACCAAGTTACTTAGCCAGGTTTAAGTTATAACAATTAACCTCTGTTGTACTTAATTGATCCAGACTGGTTGAATTATTTTACTGAAATTAAATTACACAAGCATCTAACGGCAGAGCTGTTCCCGATCCCCAAAATGGTTAATTGAACTTTGAGAAATAGTAGACATGTCAACCCTGATGACCTATGACCGCCGGTCACTCCGCCTTACAACTTAGATCTGATTCGTGACGTCACTGATGGTGACTTAAACTCAATAATTACAATACTCTTGATATTGTACCCAGTACTATTATACAATACAATTTTAATACAAAATGAATAAAGGCTAATTTCTCTAAATTACTGAATACTATAGGATGGTTCATTATACAAAACTATGAACAAAGATGCCCGCCATTTGTGACTCAGACCTGCTAATCCCCAGGGGAATGTGCGTTGAGAGGTCAGGTCCCTACACGAAACTTCTGGAACCTTCTGGAATAATTCTTACAACAGCCTAGTTTGTTACAACAGGACAACACAGCAGCCATGCTAGACAACACAGCACCCATGCAGGTCAACATAGCAGCTATGCAGAACAACACAGCAGCCATGCAGGTCAAGATAGCAGCCATGTTGGACAACACATTTAACAGCCTTGCAGGTCAACACAGCAGCCTTGCAGGTCAACAAAGCAGCAATGCAGGTCAACACAGCAGTAATGCTGGACAATACAGCAACCATGCTAGACAACACAGCAGCATTGCAGGACAACACAGCAGCCATGCAGGTCAACACAGCATCCATGCAGGACAACACAGCAGCCATGCTGGACAACACAGCACACATGCACGTCAACACAGCAGCCATGCAGGACATCACAGACGCCATGCAGGACAACACAGCACCCATGCAGGTCAACACAGCCGCCATGCTAGACAACACAGCAGCCATGCAGTTCAACACAGCAGCCATGCAGGTCAAAACAGCAGCCATGCTAGAGAACACAGCAGTCATGCAGGACAACACAGCACCCATGCAGGACAACACAGCAGCCTTGCAGGACAACACGGCAGCCATGCTAGACAACACAGCACCCATGCAGGTCAACATAGCAGCTATGCAGAACAACACAGCAGCCATGTAGGTCAAGATAGCAGCCATGTTGGACAACACAATTAACAGTCTTGCAGGTCAACACAGCAGCCTGGCAGGTCAACAAAGCAGCAATGCAGGTCAACACAGCAGTAATGCTAGACAATACAGCAACCATGCTAGACAACACAGCAGCATTGCAGGACAACGCAGCAGCCATGCAGGTCAACACAGCAGCCATGCAGGTCAACACAGCAGCCATGTACGTCAACACAACAGCCATGCAGGACAACACAGCAGCCAAGCAGGTCAACACAGCACCCATGCAGGTCAACACAGCAGCCATGCAGGACAACACAGCAGCCATGTAGGACAACACAGTACCCATGCAGGTCAACACAACAGTCATGCAGGACAACACAGCAGCCTTGCAGGACAACACAGCACCCATGCAGGTCAACACAGCAGCCATGCAGGGCAACACAGCAGTCATGCAGGTCAACACATCAGCAATGGAGGTCAACACAGCAGTCATGTAGGTCAACACAACAACCATCCAGGACAACACAGCAGCCATGCAGGACAACACAGCACCCATGCAGGTCAACACAGCAGCCATGCAGGTCAACACAGCAGCCATGCAGATCAACACAGCAGCCATGCAGGACAACACAGCAGCCATGCTAGACAACACAGCAGCCATGCAGGTCAACACAGCAGCATTGCAGGACAACACAGCAGCCATGTAGGACAACACAGCACCCATGCAGGTCAACACAGCAGCCATGCAGGAAAACACAGCAGCCATGTAGGACAACACAGCACCCATGCAGGTCAACACAACAGTCATGCACGACAACACAGCAGCCTTGCAGGACAACACAGCACCCATGCAGGTCAACACAGCAGCCATGCAGGACAACACAGCAGCCATGCAGGACAACACAACAGCCATGCAGGACAACACAGCACCCATGCAGGTTAAAACAGCAGCCATGCTAGACAACACAGCAGCCATGCTAGACAACACAGCAGCCATGCTAGACAACTCAGCACCCATGCAGGTCAACACAGCAGCCATGCAGGACAACACAGCAGCAATGCTAGACAACAAAGGTGCTATGCAGGTCAACACAGCAGCCGTGCAGGACAACACAGGAGCAATGCTAGAAAACACAGCTGCCATGCAGGTCAACACAGCAGCCATGCAGGACAACACAGTAGCTATGCAGGACAACACAGCAGCCATGCAGGTCAACACAACAGCCATGCAGGACAACACAGCAGCCTTGCAGGACAACACAGCACCCATGCAGGTCAACACAGCAGCCATGCAGGACAACACAGCAGCCATGCAGAACAACACAACAGCCATGCAGGACAACACAGCACCCATGCAGGTTAAAACAGCAGGCATGCTAGACAACACAGCAGCCATTCTAGACAACACAGCAGCCATGCACGACAACTCAGCACCCATGCAGGTCAACACAGCAGCCATGCAGGACAACACAGCAGCAATGCTAGACAACACAGGTGCCATGCAGGTCAGCACAGCAGCCATGCAGGACAACACAGCAGCCATGCTAGACAACACAGAAGCCATGCAGGTCAACACAGCAGCCATTCAAGACAACACAGCAGCCATGCTAGACGACACAGCTGCCAATTAGGTCAACACAGCAGCCATGCAGTCCAACACAGCAGCCATGCAGGACAACATAGCAGGCGTGCACGACAACACAGCACCCATGCAGGTCAACACAGCACCCATGCAGGTCAACACAGCAGCCATGCAGGACAACACAGCAGCCATGCAGGTCAACACAGCAGCCATGCTAGACAACACAACAGCCATGCAGGTCAACACAGCAGGCATGCTAGACAACACAGCAGCCATGCTAGACAACACAGCAGCCATGCACGACAACTCAGCACCCATGCAGGTCAACACAGCAGCCATGCAGGACAACACAGCTGCAATGCTAGACAACACAGTGGCCATGCAGGTCAGCACAGCAGCCATGCAGGACAACACAGCTGTAATGCTAGACAACACAGCAGCCATGCAGGTCAACACAGCAGCCATGCAGTACAACACAGCAGCCATGCTAGACGACACAGCTGCCATTCAGATCAACACAGCAGCCATGCAGGACAACACAGCAGCCATGCTAGACAACACAGAAGCCATGCAGGTCAACAGAGCAGCCATGCAGGACAACACACTAGCCATGCAGGTCAACACAGCAGCCATGCTAGACAACACAGCTGCCATGCAGGACAACACAGCAGCCATGCTAGACAACACAGCAGCCATGCAGGTCAACACAACGGTCATGCAGGACAACACAGCAGCCATGCAGGTCAGCACAACAGCCATGCAGGACAATACAGCAGCCATGCAGGTCAACACAACAGCCATGCAGGACAACACAGCAGCCATGCAGGTCAACCCAACAGCCATGCAGGACAACACAGCAGCCATGCAGAACAACACAACAGCCATGCAGGTCAACACAGCAGCCATGCAGGACAACACAGCACCCATGCAGGTCAACACAACAGCTATGCAGGACAACACAGCAGACATGCAGGACAACAGCAGTTATGCAGGACAACACAGCATCCATGCAGGTCCACACAGCACCCATGCAGGTCAACACAGCAGCCATGCTGGTCAACACAACCGGTGTGCAGGACAACATAGCAGCAATGCAAGACAACACAGCAGCCATGTAGGACAACACAGCAGCCATGCAGGACAACACAGCAGCCATGCAGGTCAACATAGCAGCCTTGCAGGACAACACAACACCCATGCAGGACAACACAGCAGTCATGCAGGTCAACACGACAGCCATGCAGGACAACACAGCAGCAATGCAGGACTACACAGCAGTCATGCAGGTCATCACAACAGCCATGCAGGACGACACAGCAGCCATGCAGGTCAACACAACAGCCATGCAGGACAACACAGCAGCCATGCAGGATAACACTGCAGCCATGCAGTTCAACACAGCAGCCATGCAGGACAACACAGCACTCATGCAGGTCAACACAACAGCTATGCAGGATAACACAGCAGACATGCAGGACAACACATCAGTTATGCAGGACAACACACCAGCCATGCAGGACAACACATCACCCATGCAGGTCAACACAGCACCCATGCAGGTCAACACAGCAGCCATGCAGGTCAACACAACAGCCATGCAGGACAACACAGCACCCATGCAAGACAACACAGCAGCCATGCAGGACAACACAGCAGCCATGCAGGACAACACAGCAGCCATGCAAGTCAACATAGCAGCCATTCAGGACAACACAACAGCCATGCAGGACAACACAGCAGCCATGCAGGTCAACACGACAGCCATGCAGGACAACACAGCAGCAATGCAGGTCAACACAGCAGCCATGCAGGACAACACAGCAGACATGCAGGTCAACACGGCCGCCATACAGGACAACACAGCAGCCATGCAGGTCAACACAACAGCCATGCAGGATAACACAGCAGCCATGCAGGTCAACACAACAGCAATGCGGACAACACAGTAGCCAAGTAGGACAACACAGCAGCCAAGTAGGACAACACAGCAGCCATGCAGGTCAACACAACAGCCATGCAGGATAACACAGCAGCCATGCAGGTCATCACAACAGCAATGCGGACAACACACCAGCCATGCAGGTCGACACAGCAGCAATGCAGGACAACACAGCACCCATGCAGGACAACACAGCAGCCATGCAGGACAACACAACAGCCATGCAGGACAACACAGCAGTCATGCAGGACAACACAACAGCCATGCAGGTCAACACAGCAGCCATGCTAGACAACACAGCAGCAATGCAGGTCAACACAGCAGCCATACTAGACAACACAGCAGACATGCTAGACAACACAGCAGCCATGCCGGACAACACAGCAGCCATGCAGGTCAACACACCGCAGCCATGCCAGACAACACAACAGTCATGCAGGAAACACAGCAGCAATGCGCGTCAACACAGCAGTTATGCAGGTCAACACAGCAGCCATGCTAGACAACGCAGCAGCCATGCTAGACAACACAACAGACATGCTAGGCAACACAACAGCCATGCTAGAGAACAGAACAGCCATGCTAGACAACACAACAGCCATGCTAGACAACACAACAGCTATGCTAGACAACACAACAGCTATGCAGGTCAACACAGCAGCCATGCTAGACAACACAACAGCTATGCTAGACAACACAACAGCCATGCTAGACAACACAACAGCCATGCTAGACAACACAGCAGCCATGCTAGACAACACAATAGCCATGCTAGACAACACAACAGCCATGCAGGACAACACAACAGCCATGCTAGGCAACACAGCAGCCATGCAGGTCAACACAGCAGCAATGCTAGATAACACAGCAGCCATGCAAGACAACACAGCAGCCATGCTAGACAACACAGCAGCAATGCAGGTCAACACAGTAGTAATGCAGGACAACACAGCAGCCATGCAGGACAATACAGCAGCCATGCAGGTTAACACAGCAGCCAAGCTGGTCAACACAGCAGCCATGCAGGACAATACAGCAGTCATGCTAGACAACACAACAGTCATGCCGGTCAACACAGCAGCCATACTAGACAACACAGCAGCCATGTAGGTCACACAGCAGCCATGCAGGTCAACACAGTAGTAATGCAGGACAACACAGCAGCCATGCAGGACAATACAGCAGCCATGCAGGTTAACACAGCAGCAAAGCAGGTCAACACAGCAGCTATGCAGGTCAACACAGCAACCATGCAGGTCAACACAGCAGCCATGCAGGTCAGCACAGCAGCCTTGCAGGTCAACACAGCAGACATGCATGTCAATACTGCAGGACGACCTGTACAGACTGGAGGAATGGTCTAGAAAATGGCTGCTAAAATTCAACTCAGGAATGTGTAAAGTAATGAAATTAGGCGAAGGGAGCAGAAGGCTAAACACAAGGTACCATCTGGGAGGTGAAATCCTACAAGAGTCAAATAAAGAGAAAGATCTGGGGGTCGATATCACATCGACCTGTCCCCAGAGGCCCACATCAAAAGTATATCTTCAGCGGCATATACTAGACTGGCCAATATAAAAACTGCCTTCAGAAACTTGTGTAAGGAATCGTTCAGGACCCTGTATACTACTTATGTAAAACCAATCCTCGAGTATGCAGGTCCTGCCTGGAGTCCATAAGTAGTTAAACACAAGGCGAAGTTAGGGAAGGTTCAGAGGTATGCCACCAGACTGGTCCTGGAACTGAGAGGAATGAGTTACGAGGAAAGGCTAAGGGAGCTGAATCTCACAACCCTGGAAAACAGAAGGGTAAGGGGAGACATGATAACCACTTACAAAATTCTCAAGGGAATTGACAGGGTGGACAAAGACAAACTCTTTAGCGCGCATGGAACACGAATAAGGGGACACAGGTGGAAACTTAGTACCCAGATGAGCCACAGAGACGTTAGAAAGAATTTTTTCATTGTCAGGGTAGTTAACAAATGGATTGCATTAAGCAGTGTTGTGGTGGAGGCTGACTCCATACACAGTTTCAAATGAAGATATGATAGAGCCCAATTGGCTCAGGAATCTGTACACCAGTTGATTGACAGTTGAGAGGCGGGACCAAAGAGCCAGAGCTCAACCCCCGCAAGCACAACTAGGTGAGTACTAGGTGAGTACAGCAGCCATGCAGGACAACAACCATTACTGCACGTGCCATGAACGTGCAACATTGTTCAACACGAGGAAATGGTTATCGTATGGTAAGAGCGCGCAATTAGTCAGTTAAGGAGTTAATTTAGTTATCATAGCATATTGAATTGCAGGAGTTCCATTCTTACCTACAACACCTTGCAATCACGGTTTGTTTACTCCGAATTTTCCATCCTAAAGTTCTAAAGTTTTGCAATATAAAGACGGTAAAATGTTCCCGATGAGACGGAACAATTTCAACTGCGCATTATATATTTCTTGTTCTTATAGTTCTCGTAATTATTTACGAGAAAGTCATCAAACGAGCATCACGGACGACAGACCCGGGGATACGTAGTCCTGACCACGGACCAACTCCTGGGGAAAGGACCCGGGGGTACGTAGTCCTGACCACGGACCAACAGCTGGGGGAAGGACCCGGGGGTACGTAGTCCTGACCACGGACCAACTCCTGGGGAAAGGACCCGGGGGTACGTAGTCCTGACCACGGACCAACAGCTGGGGGAAGGACCCGGGGGTACGTAGTCCTGACCACGGACCAACTCCTGGGGAAAGGACCCGGGGGTACGTAGTCCTGACCACGGATCAACAGCTGGGGGAAGGACCCGGGGGTACGTAGTCCTGACCACGGACCAACTCCTGGGGAAAGGACCCGGGGGTACGTAGTCCTGACCACGGACAAACAGCTGGGGGAAGGACCCGGGGATACGTAGTCCTGACCACGGACCAACTCCTGGGGAAAGGACCCGGGGTACGTAGTCCTGACCACGGACCAACAACTGGGGGAAGGACCCGGGGGTACGTAGTCCTGACCACGGACCAACAGCTGGGGAAAGGACCCTGGGGTACGTAGTCCTGACCACGGACCAACAGCTGGGAGAAGGACCCGGGGGTACGTAGTCCTGACCACGGACCAACAGCTGGGGGAAGGACCCAGGGGTACGTAGTCCTGACCACGGACCAACTGCTGGGGGAAGGACCCGGGGGTACGTAGTCCTGACCACGGACCAACAGCTGGGGGAAGGACCCGGGGGTACGTAGTCCTGACCACGGACCAACAGCTGGGGGAAGGACCCAGGGGTACGTAGTCCTGACCACGGACCAACAGCTGGGAGAAGGACCCAGGGGTACGTAGTCCAGACCACGGACCAACAGCTGGGAGAAGGACCCAGGGGTACGTATGTAACGGGGGGTGGGGGAAATAGCTCTATCTTGTCCATTATTCCACCCCCCAGTTAACTAACGAGGCCGGGGGAAACAGCTCTCTCTAGTCCGTTATCCCGTCCCCAGTTAGCTAACTATTCTAGAGCACCTCCAGAGTTCCTAAGGCAACCTCTCTCGTTCAACACCTTGTAACCTAGTTATTCGACTACCTAGGTGCTAAGACTACAAGGCGCCGTCACTTGATCAGTTACCCGAAACTCTAGAGAGAACTCTAGGATACAGAATCAGTGCCACAAACGTATAAGAGAAAACGAAAGGAAAGAAATGAATAGTGAAGTAATTAGTGAGGGTTTGGGGTGAGAGGTAGAGAAGTGGGAGGAGCGAGGAGGGTCATTAGTTGAAAGTGAGAGTTCAGAGAGGGGTGGAGGGAGAGGTATAGATAGGTAGAAGTAGAAGAGTAGATAGTAGAAGACGATAGTAGAAAGTAGAAGATAAAATGCTGCCACCATCCATTCATGATCATTACATACAAGACAAGGAATGGAACTTGCCTGTATCACAAAATTCTCAAAAGATGTTATCATGAGTTCATTATTAGTATGTTCCCTCTGTACCATGTATCAACTCCAAACATGTACTCATTAATATCTTGAATCTAGTAACCACCGAGGCTTTCTCACCTCAACTCAAAGCTCTAGGGAACAAAGACGATTTAAATAATAAGTTCATATATTTCACATACTAAGTATCATAATATAAGCAATCCAATTAAAATGTTCCCGTTTAATATGCAAAGTGAGTCATCATCCAAGAATTCGAGAACCCTACAACTTGACTGCCCCTGATCATCACACAACATATGTAAACACGACCAAGTCACCTTAATGTTCACTCACCGAGGACTGAGTCTAAGTTGAATAGAGAGGGGGGGGGGGTCTGTAGCTTGACAGAGACTGTCTCGCCCCTGCCGGCCGACAGCCTCCCTGCTAGGGACGTCTTCTCTGCTCTGCTGGCTCGTCTGCTGTTCTGTCTGTTAATCCTCCATCCTCCATAGCTCTCCGAGTTTATATTGGGGAACCTAGTAGCTAACTCCGCCCACAAATAGATAGCCTCCGGCACTACCAAGCCACTTCTTAAACGTCAGCATGTTTGAAGGCTACCAGACTACAATTATAAGCTTAGCGGAAGCAAGGTGAAATTCTCATGATCTGACCTCAGGTCACTTGAGGTCATTAACGCTTTGAGGTGTGAGATCTCAGGCCGACAAACTGGCGCCTCTCAGATCCTTGTCTGTGACTCATGTACTCTATGTATGTATTAAACTAAACCAAACACTTTTACAGTGTTACATCTCCCTTTCTCCCCGAAATAAAGTTTTTGCAACACTGCTAAAGCAAGCTAGCTGTGTGCAACAACTTTATTAACGAAAAAAAAAATACATCCTAGCTAAACAAATATACATCATCCTACTCTAAAAAATGAAATATATAGACAGACGTCCATTGTCTCTGGCTGGGCGACGTCACTGCTTGGTCTTGTAGATAATCCTGTACCACATTTCTTCAACACAACTCCCTCCGTCGCTTCTCCGTCGTTAACGCACAACAACCCTTGGTCAACCCGATAGCCGTTACTACTTGAACTGCGCACAGGACCGTGGAATTCGGTTGTCCCAGCTGATCTGTAATTGGCCCTACGTCAGTCACCATGAGAGACGTATATTGGGGTTCTTCACAGCTATAGGGACTACAAGTTTCGAGACCTTCATATAGTTGCCAACAGTAGAAATCCCATCCTACTCTTCTTCCTCCCTGTTGCTCCAGCACGCCTCCTTCAGAGAGCTACTTCTGACAGCCACATCAAGTCCGCACGACACAGGAAGAATCACTCAACAGAGCAACATGCTTGCAGGAGGGGCGGCCAGTTAAGGCAAACGATCCTGTCTTGCAATTACGCTCCATGCAATGATGCTGACACCAGCAAGGGACACTAGGCATCGTGTCTCACTCAGCTTGTCTTATCTTCTTCTTCTTTCTTCTCTCTTCTTTCTTCTCTCTTCCTTCTTCTCTCTTCTTTCTTCTTCTCTTCTTTCTTCTCTCTTCCTCCTCCCATGGGTCTTTGACAAGCGACCTGGGGTCCATTGGGGTCCGTCCGTCCTGGGGTCCATCCTGGGTAGACCGATGTTGGTGGGACAGACTGGAGTCGTTGTTGCTCCTCTTCCATCTTTACTGGGTCGTCTGGGGTCGACCTGGGGTCCAGGGGGTCCGACCTCTTGGGGTCCACTGGGGTCCGTCCGTCCTGGGGTCCACTGGGTAGACCAATGTTGACCGACCGAGAGGGCTGCATCTTGGGGTCCCCTGGGGTGGTGATGGTGGTGGAGCCATGACCTCCAGGTAGTGGGCTGGTCGTGGTGGTGGTGATAAACGCCCGTGAGTATGGTACACAGCAGCCGTCTCCCTCTTCTGTATGTGCGTCTCTCCTCTCTTCTGGCTCCCACCTGTGGATGAACAGAAAGGCGACAATATCGTGCTCCCAAGATATTGTGTGACCCTGTAGTTTGTATAGGGTTCACACAGTTATATCATAACGCTCTCCTCCTGGCAACGACTACACTCAATTTTTAATAATCCAATTAACTCTGAATGATATTGACTTGGTGGAACATAAAACAGTAACAGAGTAAAGTTAGAGAAGAGAGAATAAGGTCATCACTACTTTTAACTTGTCACAAAAAAAAATCAACACTAA